GGGGGGGGGCAGCTGGGCCGTTGCCACCCCAAGCCTTAGGTACGTGATGTAACTTCTGCACCACCTCCCCACACTTCCTGCACCCTGGGCTGTGTCCCTGCCGGCCCATGCTACCCCCAGCAGCTCCGGACACCCCCCATGCTGCCTCCAGGGCCAGACAGGCCCTTCCACAGCGGCCCCTGGCCTCTTGGTGGAGGCAGGAGCCACCATGTGCAAATGTGGCTACAGGCCTAGTACAAGTCTTTGCAGCCACCTGGCCCCAGGCCAGGCTGCCAGGGAGGTAGGTGCCTGCGCAGGTGGCCTGGGGCCCGATCCTTTCATCCAGATAGGTGAGCACGGTGCGCGTGGGGTTGGGAGTGCATGTGCTGGTCCCTGCCTGTACCAGCGACAGCCCAGCGGTACCCCGGGGCTGGCACCAGTGGGGCCCCAGAGTGAGGCGGCAGGAGCCTGGGCTCTATGGAGCTGGGATGGGCTGCACCAGCAGGGAGAGAGAGGAGCCATCCTGCTCTGGGCCCTGCCGACACTGGCCCTGGAACACTGGTGCTGGCTCCCGCGCTCCCACTTGCTTGCTCCTAGCTCCCCACCCCCGTGGTCAGGCAGGCACCAGTGCACACAGCCCCAACCCTGCGTGCTGTGTGCTTGCCCATCTGGGTGAAAGGATCCCAGCTGTTGCTGGCTCCTGTGCGCCCGCTTGCTCCCGGTTGCCTGGCCAGACTGCAGGACTCATCAGGAGCTGACCTGGTCCCAAGGACTGGGGCGATCACCTGGGGTCTTTCCCTGCCTCCCTGTCCCTCTTCTCTTACCTGATTTTCCCACTCTTATGCAGGCACAAACAGTCCCACAGTTCCAGGCCAGAAGCCTCTGCTAGGCAGGGGCTTTGGGCCAGAGCCCAGCTGGGTGGGCCCTTCTGTTCCAGGGACTTGCCGTGGCTTCCCCTGGGTCCTACTGCCCCTGTCTCCTGTCATTTTTTACAAGAGCCAGGGGCAGATAAATATGAATTTTTAATTTTTTTTAGGGGCTCTGCAGGCCAGATAGAATGGCCTGGCAAGCCAAATCTGACCCACGGGCCATATTTTTGCCACCCCTGTTTTACATGCATGTAGAGCACTGTATCCTGACAGACACAGGTTTTAAATCCTCCTCAGCTATTTCATCACAGTTTGGAGGAACTTTTTATTGCAGGGAAATAAGTAAGATCAAAGGAAAAGCTAGCCACAAAGCTCCTTTATCTGAAGTCTAATATGTCTGGCTCTCTCCTTTCCATGTGATGGATCCTGGCTACTAAAACGGATGTAATGGAAATTTCTCTTCCATATGAGAGAGACTGGGAGATGAAAGGGATTATGGATCCTGAGAGGGGCAGGGAGGGAAAAACTGGGGGCAGGATCCTGTGGAAGAGCATGGAGAAGGCTGGGAAAGGAGGGAGACAGTGCTGGATAGTGAAGGGGATAGGAAGAGGGGGAAAGGCAGTGCCCCCATCACAGAGGGCAGGGCAGGGAAACCCCCTCTTTATGTAGCCATGGAAGAAAATCCTCACTTGCATGTGCACTCCAGGCTGGACTGTGAACCAGAAAGGATCATGTGCACTCTGGGGTGGCCTCCCCCAGAGCTCTGAGAACCAGACAATCCCTAACACTAGCCAGTGCACGAGACTTTTTAGGATTGCTGTCCAGGCTGACTCATGCTAACTGAATGCTTGGGGTGGCTATGAAAGGCCCAGTTAGCTCAGTACAAGTAGATCCCCCAATCTCCACTAGAGTTCTCTGAAGGCGTGCAGGTCAGCCCACGCAGAGCCACTTACAGGATTGGCTCCAGAGGCTTCCAATTCCTGCACTGTTGTATGGATTTAAGTGGGAAAAGAATGAGGAAATACCACTACAGGCCTCTCTTTCAAGGGTCAAAGTTCTTTAGTTTCAGACCTTCAATAGGAACAATTAATACTCTAACTATCTGGGCCAGATCCTTTCTGTAGATTCCCTATCTTGTCTCTGAAGTTCCCAGGGACATCCTTCTAGGAAAGATCATCAGGTGTTGCGCTGCCTGCTGAGCCTGGTGAGTTAATTGGCAGGGTAATCAAGCCCCAACACTGAAGAGTCCCACTTGCATGAGCTTTCTTTTAGGGCTGTGCGAAACAGCACCGTTTTGTTATGACTTCCATTTCACCATTTCAAATGGACAATGTTTTGTTTCATTGTTTTGTTTCATTTTGAAGCAGTGTTCCGTTTCATTTTGTCGAAACTTTTGCTGTTTTGACGCATTTTGACGTTTCGCCCATAGGCTATAATGGGGAATCATGAAAATACCTAAAACTTTGTCATTTCTTGCCTGATTCAGATGAAAATTGCAGGTCTGGTAGCCCCTTCTGAGGGCATGAAGCCTGACAAGTTTCAAGGAGATAGGTGCAGAGGGTTCGGGGAAATTGCACCTCAAACTGTTCAAAGCAAAACTCGTGACACTTGCCGGCAGCCTCCTGTCATCTGGCATGCAGATGCAGGGGCCCGCACCCTAGGAGGGCTGTGGGGCTGTGCTGGACTTCTCCCAGGGGTGCAGGCCCCCGGATCTGCACACTGGATGACAGGAGGCTGCTGCTGCTGCCTGGGACCGGCGCTGGGTGCAGCTTGCGCCCAACGCCAGGAAGATTGCTGCTGCGGATGGCCCCAGGCAGCAGCAGCAGCAGCAGCAGCAGCAGCAGCAGGCTCTTCTCATCTGGCACACAGATCCAGGGACCCACGCCCCCGGGAAGAGTCCAGCACAGCCCTGCAGTCCTCCCAGGGGTGCAGGTCCTCACAGGGGCGATGCATAGGGTGTGTACACAAGTGCACATGCACCCCATGAGTGTGGCGGTGCACCCTCTGGTCACCGCGCACCACCATGCTGCTGACACCAACAGCAGTGTCTGCGGGTGGTTGCTGCTTGCCACCCTGCCACCGACACCACTGGCGGTGTCTGCGGGCAGTCCATGATCGCCGCAGGCCGCCACCGCCACTGCTGGTGGTGCCTGTAGGTGGTCACCGACCCCGGTCACTTGCCACCCCCCCATTCATGGGCCCCCGGATCTGCGTGCCAGATGACAGGAGGTTGCTGCTGCCAGCTGGAACCGGTGTTGAAACCAAGTAAGCCAGGCTTCAAAACTCCAAACATTTACAAACTTTTGAAATGTTTTGAGTGCCCTCGTTTTGTTTTGAAGCCTTTTGTTTTGTTTCAATTTCACTGTTTCAAGCTCGAAACGAAACACCCGGCAAAATTTCACACAGCCCTACTTTCTATCAGCTGTGTAGTTTAAAGCACAAGTACATGAATGTGGAGGAGATGCATTTTATTATTTATCCTTAATAATACAGAACGATGTTGCAGCCGTTACAAGAAGCTAATTTAACTTTAACCTTTTCCCTAGACCTCTGCAGGATTAAATTAGTGTACTGGGGAGTCCAAGGCAGTTAGTGCTGATGCAGTGCTTCAATATGCTCTTGTGCACTGTCTGCTACAGGAAACAACATTCTTTAACCAGGACAGCCTAATGGTTCTCCGTTTGACTTTTTTTTCCTGACCTGGTAAGACTTAATCTAGCACAAACAGCAGATGCAGTCTGAGAGCTACCATTAAAATTTGCCAAGCCATGAAGTTAATCAGCAAGACATGTGCTGTAAATATAACAGTCAAGCACAGGGAGCATATTAGTGATCCTTTTTGATATTTTCCTCAGACCTATAATTTTGGAAAGGTAATTGCTGTTCTACAGTATGCCAATTCAGTAACTCTTGAGATCTATCTAGTAAGAATAGTTCAGCTAAAGTAAACGAACTTGATATAATGCAAAAAGTTGAGGGTCCTTGAAAAGTTAGACCCTCCTATGCTGGGTTAATTATAAATGAAAGGGTATCTAAAATAGATGGACATTGATCCGTTTTATTTTAAAGACAGCATTAAAACAGGAGCGTTGCTTGATAGTAACTGCTGAAATAGCAACTCAGCCTTCGGAAGCAAAAAATGTGCACTACTGTCATTCTCAGTGTCTGCCTGTCTTTAAATTGCTTTGCATTTATTTGGAGAATTCCTCTATGTGTTGTCATTAGATAATATTTTACATGAATTTTTTTCTTGTTTTGAAAACACTTTTTAATTAACATATTTTCAATTAAAATGAGATTTTTTTCAATAGCAAAACTATTTTTCCACCCCAAATGGTACAAAATCCATTTTTGATTCCCCTTTATTTCAATTAAAAGCAGAAACATTTCAACCAAACTGAAAATTTTCCATGAAAAAGATGGTTCAAATTTGAATGAACTCTAGCAATGTTAAATGTGGGCCATGCAGTTTAGTAGCATTGTAGGAGATGAGCTTTAACTTGATGATTTTAATGCAGCATCTGGGCAATTATATATTTATACTCAAAGGCATTCTTTTAGTTCTGCTCTGAGGTATTTCAAATACTAATTTCACAGGTTTCTGCGGGATTACAAGGTGTTGAAGCTGTGTGGAAATCCTTACCTGATTTATATTCCATATGGAAATTAAGGACCAGATCCTTTCTTCAAAGGAGTTGCATCGATTTACACCCACTGGGGATATGACACGATGGTCGGTTTCTCCTTCCCAGCTTTGCACTGGGGTGAGAAGAGAATCAGGCACCCCATATGTTTGCAGTTTCAGCATCATCATCATCATGTGTTAGATTTTGGTCTATGCTAAATATATGGGATTTTTTAACAAACAAACTTCCAAATGCCTTGTGGTTAGCTTCTGCTTGCATCTTTTTTTCTTGTCGATATAAAAATACATATGTGTGTACTTAGCAGAACAGTAAACTGAACAAATTAAAAGTTACTTTGAATAGGAAATTCAGGATGTAAGACACGTGCCTGGGGCTACTGCAAACTTAGCAGAATTTCCGAAAACCTTCCGCTTTGAATAATCAGAAATTGACAATTTGATGAAGGAAGGAAGAAGCAGCGCTTTAGCCACACACCAAAGTTCAGTGCAAATTAGAGTGCGGGCAGTTCTTCTGAAAGGAGAGAGACTGCTTGTTCCAGCCCTGCTGAGAAAAGAAATGCTCATTAAACTACACAGCTGTCATTTATGTGCTGAAAAAGTTAAGCAAAGGGCAAGAGTTATTCTGTTCCTGTCTATGGTAAATGATAGAATGGTATTGGTAATGGATTGTTATTTGTGCAGCTCTTTCCATAGAGAACAAACAGAATACCATAGGATCATAAAATCTCAGAGTAACCCTGCCAAAGCCAAGAGGCAACTTATTTCCACATGACAAAGAAACTGATTGACTGCTACTTGATTCCTGCTCTGTATTGATAGCGATGATAGAAATACACCACACATGTAGAAGCATGGAACTGGTGGGATCAGGTAATGAACTGAAGGCAAGGAAGACAAGCAAGTTCAGGTGCTAACAACAGCC